GTACTCAAACACCAGTACACTGTGGTCGCTCATTCCTACTGGGTCCTCAAAACCGATTTCTCTTATGTCGGAGTCGTTCAGAGTGAAGACTAGGTCGAGTCTCGCTGGTTCGTCATTGCCTCTCATCCTTGTGGGTTCTCCGACATGCTGCGTTAAAAAGTTGCTTGTCACCACCTCCAATAGTTTGGCTCTCCACGTATCCTCGCCTCCATGCGGTTCCTTGTTCTCCCAGTCAATCTTTCCGTGATTGAAGTCGCCCATGATGAGCAGGTGGGATCTATTTCTACAGGCAGCAGAGGCTGCCCTCTCAATTATAGTGTTAACTGCCTTGTTGTTGTTTTCATACTCTTGACTGGGTCTCCTGTCATTTGGTGGAGGGTTGTATATTACTGCTACTACTATTCTTGGTCCTCCCATTGTTATGGTGCCTGCTATGTAGTCTCTGAACTCCTCACAGCCCGGGATGGCCATCTCCTTAAAACTCCATTCCCTTCTCATGAGTAGGGCCACTCCGCCTCCTCCTCTACCTTCCCTCTCTTTCCTTATTACTGTATACTCCTGGGGAAACACGGCATTCGTTATGATTCCAGAGAGTTTTGTTTCAGTGGTACATCACCCTGAAACTGACTCTCTTCTGCTTCTTTTCTGGGGGGGACCTTTGGGATCTGGGGTGAGTGGGAGCTGGGGGGACCTGGCACGGGGGATTGGTGGAGGAGGGAGGGCTTGGGGTGGTGGGGGAGAGGGTGTGTGTGTGTGTGTGTGTGTGTGTGTGTGTGTGTGTGTGTGTGTGTGTGTGTGTGTGTGTGTGTGTGTGTGTGTGTGTGTGTGTGTGTGTGTGGACATTAATGCAAATATTCTTCATTAATCAGTTATATGTGAGCCTGTTCAAGCGAAGGAAATAATTCGATCATATGTATTCACTATGTAAGCAACGAAACCTATTCACTATATTTAAAGGTCCCATATAATATACAAATAATAAATTACTCAAATTGCAATATATTACAGAAATTGATCTGTAGGACGATGTGTTGTGGTGGATGTGTTTCACAGTAGAGTGTTAGTAGCAGCACTGTGTTCTTCACTCCTCAAGCACTGTTATGTTAGCATGACGGTATAGCATGAGTATGTCGACCTTCTGTGGCACTGTTGTCCTGTGGCACTGTTGTCCTTCTGTGGCACTGTTGTCCTGTGGCACTGTTGTCCTTCTGTGGCACTGTTGTCCTGTGGCACTGTTGTCCTGTGGCACTGTTGTCCTGTGGCACTGTTGTCCTGTGGCACTGTTGTCCTGTGGCACTGTTGTCCTGTTACACTGTTGTCCTTCTGTGGCACTGTTGTCCTGTGGCACTGTTGTCCTACCCACGTGGTAGGTTACTGGCTATTTAACACAATAATCACTCAATCACTGTACTTGCTGTTATCTAACCATTGTGTTAGACTTCCTATGGTCAGCCGTCCTGCAAGTACTCTCATGTCGCCAGATATGAATTATTATTTTTTGAGCGTAGACACCACCACACTGATGGGTACCTTATCACCATACGCCACCACACTGATGGGTACCTCATTACCATACACCACCACACTGATGGGTACCTTATCACCATACACCATCATACTGATGGGTACCTTATCACCATACACCACCACACTGATGAGTACCTTATCACCATACACCACCACACTGATGGGTACCTTATCACCATACACCATCATACTGATGGGTACCTTATCACCATACACCACCACACTGATGGGTACCTTATCACCATACACCACCACACTGATGGGTACCTTATCACCATACATCATCACACTGATGGGTACCTCATCACCATACACCACCACACTGATGGGTACCTTATCACCATACACCACCACACTGATGGGTACCTTATCACTATACACCACCACACTGATGGGTACCTTATCACCATACATCATCACACTGATGGGTACCTCATCACCATACACCACCACACTGATGGGTGCCTTATCACTATACACCACCACACTGGTGGGTACCTTATCACCATACACCACCACACTGATGGGTACCTTATCACTATACACCACCACACTGATGGGTACCTTATCACCATACACCACCACACTGATGGGTACCTTATCACTATACACCACCACACTGATGGGTACCTTATCACCATACACCACCACACTGATGGGTACCTTATCACCATACATCATCACACTGATGGGTACCTTAGAACTCCTTTACGCCATAATTGTCTGAATTATGGCATTCTGGAGGAAAGAAAATTGAAAATATAAATTGATAAAACGGTTTCGTAGCTCACAGGCACATAATAGGAAGAGAAAGAACATTATTCTGGTTAATTCGGCAAGTAAGAAAATAGTTGACTCATCAGCCGGGATATTGCAGAGTGGCTCAGCGGCTAGCTGGGCGGGCGAGCCGACGTCTCGGTCCGTGATACGAGGATTAACTCGCTCCTGCTGGAGGAGGTAAACAAACGTATATTTCAGTTTTAGCGTCGGTGGTGGGGGGAGGGACCGTGGAGCAGGGGACCGGGGATGGGGGGAGCAGCAGGAGCGGCCCAGGACGCCGGGGGTATGAGATTTCACATTGGGGAGAGGAGGGGGTGCATGTCACTCTGCTCAGGGTCACTTCAGGAGAGAGAGGAGGGAGGGAGAGGGGTGCGCATCATGCTGCTCAGAGCCGCGTTCAGACAAGCTCTGCGATTTACTGCAGTTTCGTTCTCAAGTCTCGCAACTGTCTACGCGAGATAAGAGAGCAGGGGTAGGTCTCTGTCTGGGAGAGTGAGGGGTGGTCTCTGTCTGGGAGAGTGGGGGCTGGTCTCTGTCTGGGAGAGTGGGGGGTGGTCTCTGTCTGGGAGAGCAGGGGTGGTCTCTGTCTGGGAGAGTCAGGCGTGGTCTCTGTCTGGGAGAGTGGGGGCTGGTCTCTGTCTGGGAGAGTGGGGGGGTGTGGTCTCTGTCTAGGAGAGTGGGGGTGGTCTCTGTCTGGGAGAGTGGGGGTGGTTTCTGTCTGGGAGAGCAGGGGTAGGTCTCTGTCTGGGAGAGTGAGGGGTGGTCTCTGTCTAGGAGAGCAGGGGTAGGTCTCTGTCTGGGAGAGTGGGGGGTGGTCTCTGTCTGGGAGAGTGGGGGTGGTCTCTGTCTGGGAGAGTGGGGGGTGGTCTCTGTCTGGGAGAGTGGGGGTGGTCTCTGTCTGGGAGAGTGGGGGTGGTCTCTGTCTGGGAGAGTGGGGGTGGTCTCTGTCTGGGAGAGTGGGGGGTGGTCTCTGTCTGGGAGAGTGGGGGTGGTCTCTGTCTGGGAGAGTGGGGGTGGTCTCTGTCTGGGAGAGTGGGGGTGGTCTCTGTCTGGGAGAGTGGGGGGTGGTCTCTGTCTGGGAGAGTGGGGGTGGTCTCTGTCTGGGAGAGTGGGGGTGGTCTCTGTCTGGGAGAGTGGGGGGTGGTCTCTGTCTGGGAGAGCAGGGGTGGTCTCTGTCTGGGAGAGTCAGGCGTGGTCTCTGTCTGGGAGAGTGGGGGCTGGTCTCTGTCTGGGAGAGTGGGGGGGTGGTCTCTGTCTGGGAGAGTGGGGGTGGTCTCTGTCTGGGAGAGTGGGGGTGGTCTCTGTCTGGGAGAGTGGGGGGTGGTCTCTGTCTGGGAGAGTGGGGGTGGTCTCTGTCTGGGAGAGTGGGGGTGGTCTCTGTCTGGGAGAGTGGGGGGTGGTCTCTGTCTGGGAGAGTGGGGGGTGGTCTCTGTCTGGGAGAGTGGGGATGGTCTCTGTCTGGGAGAGTGGGGTGTGGTCTCTGTCTGGGAGAGTGGGGGTGGTCTCTGTCTGGGAGAGTGGGGGGTGGTCTCTGTCTGGGAGAGTGGGGGTGGTCTCTGTCTGGGAGAGTGGGGGCTGGTCTCTGTCTGGGAGAGTGGGGTAGTCTCTGTCTGGGAGAGTGGGGGTGGTCTCTGTCTGGGAGAGTGGGGGTGGTCTCTGTCTGGGAGAGTGGGGGTGGTCTCTGTCTGGGAGAGTGGGGGGTGGTCTCTGTCTGGGAGAGTGGGGGCTCTGTCTGGGAGAGTGGGGGTGGTCTCTGTCTTGGAGAGTGGGGGGTGGTCTCTGTCTGGGAGAGTGGGGTGGTCTCTGTCTGGGAGAGTAGGGGTGGTGTCTGTCTGGGAGAGTGGGGGGTGGTCTCTGTCTGGGAGAGTGGGGGTGGTCTCTGTCTGGGAGAGTGGGGGCTGGTCTCTGTCTGGGAGAGTGGGGGGTGGTCTCTGTCTGGGAGAGTGGGGGTGGTCTCTGTCTGGGAGAGTGGGGGTGATCTCTGTCTGGGAGAGTGGGGGCTGGTCTCTGTCTGGGAGAGTGGGGGTGGTCTCTGTCTGGGAGAGTGGTGGTGGTCTCTGTCTGGGAGAGTGGGGATGGTCTCTGTCTGGGAGAGTGGGGGGTGGTCTCTGTCTGGGAGAGTGGGGGTGGTCTCTGTCTGGGAGAGTGGGGCTGGTCTCTGTCTTGGAGAGTGGGGGGTGGTCTCTGTCTGGGAGAGTGGGGGGTGGTCTCTGTCTGGGAGAGTGGAGGTGGTCTCTGTCTGGGAGAGTGGGGGGTGGTCTCTGTCTGGGAGAGTGGAGGTGGTCTCTGTCTGGGAGAGTGGGAGGGAAGAGGGTTCTCCCCATATAGTTGGAAGAATGAGTTAGGTGCAAGAATCGTATAATCTTGTGCCGAGTTAAAACAACAAACCGCGTTCGTAACATCCAATGGTGTTTTTGAGTACCATGTGCTACCTTCCGGACTGTAGAGTGCTCCCGCAACGTTTCAGTGGCCAATGAACTCTCTGCTGGCAAACGTGCTAAATTGACGGGCATATTTAGATGACATTGTGCTCTTTGATAGAAATTGGGTAGACCACCTAGCTTGGTTACGCCAGTTGTTCACAGTTTTGAAATGTGCAAACTTAACGTTAAACGCGAAAATATGTCATTTTGGCCAAGGCACAGTGACATACCTATTGTATGAAGTGAGCCAAGGAAAAGTGTTACCTCGGCATGATAAAATCAGTGCCATTCTGGAATATCCAGTGCTCTGGAACAAGAGAGATGTCCAGAGGTTTACCGGTATGTATGCGTACTACCGACGTTTTTGTCAGAATTTTTCGAGTGTGGCAACTCCCTTAACTAACTTGTTGCAAAAGGCCGCTAAATTTAAGTGGTCAACAGACTGTGCAGAGGCATTTAAAGAACTTGATATCGATCTTAGCTTCCGCCCCAGTGCTCGCTAGTTCACGCTTCGACAAACCATTTAAAATTCACGTCGATGCGTCTGTTTCGGCTGCTGGTGCAGTGTTGTTGCAAACTGAGGATGATCAAGTGGACCATTCAGTGTACTATTACTCTGTGAAATTTAACAAGGCTCAACGCAATTAGTGGTAGAAAAAGAAGCATTGGCTCTAGTGTTAGCCTGTAAAAAGTTTGAAGTAAATATCACGGCTAATATAGTGGAAGTGCATATGAACCATTACCCACTAATGTTCATCCATCAGATGACAGTGAAAAATAAACGGGTCCTGAGGTGGGTGTTATACCTACAGGACTTCCATCTTACCGTAATCCACGTACCGGGTCGGCTAAATGTGATAGCTGATGCGCTATCCCGGTTGCCGGAGTCACATACATCTGAGCCACAGGAAGCCACGTACCACCTGTCATGTTTTATTAAATTTGTTGAGGTTCTCGTGTGACATTAAATATTCCTTGACAAAATTAGAAGTGTCTTAGAAAAGGAATAGGAAGATGTCTATGATAGGGCCGGTTCATCCCCCACGACACACGGATGTGTTTGTGGGTCGTGGGAAGGTCCAGGCCTCGACCACAAATCCTGGTCGAGGACCGGGCCGCGGGGAACGCTAAGCCCTGCTACCGTCTCAAGGAAACCTCAAGGTAAGGTGAAGTTCCCCCCTGAGCACCGCCTCACAACGCCTCAAGATCTCGTCCGTCCTTGCCAAGCGATCCAAAACAAAACTGTCGTTCTCCGCGCGGTTGTTCAATCGTCCATCAAGTGTTCTGGTCCAGCTGCCCTCGTGAGGGAGGTTGATAAACAATCACGTAGAATGCAAGAAGCATAATACAGGATACAGACACGAATGCGGGATACAGACACGTATACAATGAGAGGGAAGGGACAAACGTGACAAGATATTAGCAGCATAAGGACAGACATGACAGGCAGGACAACGTGGCAGTCATGCAGGAGCAGCAGAACACGGAGTGAGGCATGACAGGCAAGACAACAGGTCAACAAGTCGCCCCCGTCCAGGCCCCGAGGGAGGGAGTCACATATCCAAGGTGGTGTCATGTACAGAGGGGGGGAGGGAAGAGAGGGCGGGGCGGAGGGGAGATTTCACATTATCTTTATAAAGGGAAAATGTCAATCAGATACCAGTATACTATCTGTCTGTCTCTCTGCCCCTCACTCTGTCTGCCTATCCTTCACTCTGTCTGTCTGCTCCTCACTCTGGCTGCCCCTCACTCTGTCTGTCTGCCCCTCACTCTGGCTGCCCCTCACTCTGTCTGTCTGCTCCTCACTCTGGCTGCTCCTCACTCTGGCTGTCCCTCACTCACTCTGTGTGCCCCTCACTCTGTCTGTCTGCTCCTCACTCTGGCTGCCCCTCACTCTGTCTGTCTGCATCTCACTCTGTCTGTCTGCTCCTCACTCTGGCTGACCCTCACTCTGTCTGTCTGCATCTCACTCTGTCTGTCTGCTCCTCACTCTGGCTGACCCTCACTCTGTCTGTCTGCATCTCACTCTGTCTGTCTGCCCTTCACCCTGTCGGCAAGTTAAAGGTGTGTGGGGGGGGGGCGGGATTAATACCTGGTACAAAAGCCATATGTTAACTCACACACCCAACCACAGTTACGCTGCCCAATATCCTCATTCTTAAGGACAATATTTAACGCCTACAAATATTAGTATATAAGGAGACATCTCCACCTCACACTGCCCAACCACTTGGGCTGGACGGTAGATCGAGGGTCTCGATTCATGCAGGTCGGCGTTCAATCCCCGACCGTCCAGGTGCTTAGGCACTCCATCCCCCGCCCCCCTTCTCATCCCAAATCCTTATCCTGACCCCTTGCAAGTGCTATATAGTTGTAATGACTTGGCGCTTTCCCCAGATAACTCCCTCCCTCCCGCCACCACACTACGCTACACTACCTCTTAGATCAACCCTCGAGACGTTATTTGGTACAGTTACGGTGGTGATGGTACAGTTACTGTGGTGATGGTACAGTTACTGTGGTGATGGTACAGTTACGGTGGTGATGGTACAGTTACGGTGGTGATGGTACAGTTACGGTGGTGATGGTACAGGGACCATCACCAACGTACCACCATAACTATTAGGCCCTCCTTCGTATCCTGCCCTCCGTCGTATCCTGCCCTCCGTCGTGTCCTGCCCTCCGTCGTATCCTGCCCTCCGTCGTGTCCTGCCCTCCGTCGTATCCTGCCCTCCATCGTATCCTGCCCTCCGTCGTATCCTGCCCTCCTTCGTATCCTGCCCTCCGTCGTGTCCTGCCCTCCTTTGTGTCCTGCCCTCCTTTGTGTCCTGCCCTTCTTCGTGTCCTGCCCTCCGTCGTATCCTGCCCTCCGTCGTATCCTGCCCTCCTTCGTGTCCTGCCCTCCTTCGTGTCCTGCCCTCCGTCGTGTCCTGCCCTCCGTCGTATCCTGCCCTCCGTCGTGTCCTGCCCTCCGTCGTATCCTGCCCTCCTTCGTGTCCTGCCCTCCTTCGTGTCCTGCCCTCCGTCGTGTCCTGCCCTCCGTCGTATCCTGCCCTCCGTCGTATCCTGCCCTCCTTCGTGTCCTGCCCTCCTTCGTGTCCTGCCCTCCTTTGTGTCCTGCCCTCCGTCGTATCCTGCCCTCCGTCGTATCCTGCCCTCCTTCGTGTCCTGCCCTCCTTCGTGTCCTGCCCTCCTTCGTGTCCTGCCCTCCTTCGTGTCCTGCCCTCCTTCGTGTCCTGCCCTCCGTCGTATCCTGCCCTCCGTCGTATCCTGCCCTCCGTCGTATCCTGCCCTCCGTCGTGTCGTGCCCTCCGTCGTGTCCTGCCCTCCGTCGTATCCTGCCCTCCGTCGTGTCCTGCCCTCCGTCGTGTCCTGCCCTCCGTCGTGTCCTGCCCTCCGTCGTGTCCTGCCCTCCGTCGTGTCCTGCCCTCCGTCGTATCCTGCCCTCCGTCGTATCCTGCCCTCCGTCGTGTCCTGCCCTCCGTCGTGTCCTGCCCTCCGTGTGTATCCTGCCCTCCGTCGTATCCTGCCCTCCGTCGTATCCTGCTCTCCGTCGTATCCTGCCCTCCTTCGTATCCTGCCCTCCGTCGTATCCTGCCCTCCGTCGTATCCTGCCCTCCGTCGTATCCTGCCCTCCGTCGTGTCCTGCCCTCCGTCGTGTCCTGCCCTCCGTCGTATCCTGCCCTCCGTCGTATCCTGCCCTCCGTCGTATCCTGCCCTCCGTCGTATCCTGCCCTCCGTCGTATCCTGCCCTCCGTCGTGTCCTGCCCTCCGTCGTGTCCTGCCCTCCGTCGTGTCCTGGCCTCCGTCGTGTCCTGCCCTCCGTCGTATCCTGCCCTCCGTCGTATCCTGCCCTCCGTCGTATCCTGCCCTCCGTCGTGTCCTGCCCTCCGTCGTGTCCTGCCCTCCGTCGTGTCCTGGCCTCCGTCGTATCCTGCCCTCCGTCGTATCCTGCCCTCCGTCGTATCCTGCCCTCCGTCGTGTCCTGCCCTCCGTCGTGTCCTGGCCTCCGTCGTGTCCTGCCCTTTGATCTCCATCCTTCCATATTCTTCTCTTCATCTATCTCCTCCTCCTCCTCCTTCCCGCCTTCTCCTTGTACTTCTTAACTTCCTATTCCACCCCCCTCCCCTCCCCATATATATATATATATATATATATATATATATATATATATATATATATATATATATATATATATATATATATATATATATATATATAACCCACCTGCTGATCCTGGTGGTACCACCAGGATCAGCAGGCGGGTTCACAGGACTAAGACCCAACCACATCAAACAAATGCTCAACCCTGCACTGGGAGACATTGCACAGGGCCTCCTGGTGGAACTAACTAGATTCGCCAACACATGTCTAGCTGGCAACATACCAGAGACCATACGGCCTCTCTTTTTTGGCGCTACCCTCTGTGCCCTGAGGAAAAAAGATGGAGGAATCAGACCGATAGCTGTGGGCAATTCACTCCGGCGTCTCGTCGCTAAGGCTGCTGCTAGAGCAGTTAGTCAGGCAGCAGCCGACATGCTGAAGCCAAAACAGCTTGGGTTTGGCATTCCCCAAGGGTGTGAGGCAGCGGCTCATGCAGCTAGAGCCTACATTGCCAACATTACGGATGAAAAAGCCCTGATAAAGCTGGACTTCAAAAATGCTTTCAATCTGGTTAGAAGGGATGCAGTACTCAGTGCGGTTCATCGCCTTTTTCCTTCCCTCTACCCGTTTGTAAACTCATGCTACAGCAAGAATCTAACTCTGCTTTTTGGGGAACATGAAATTGAATCACAAGAAGGTGTCCAACAGGGTGACCCCCTTGCTCCTTTTCTTTTCTGCCTAGTCATCAAGGAAGTCACCGATAACCTGTCCAGTGAGCTCAACATTTGGTTTTTGGACGATGGTACTCTAGCTGGCTCCCCAGCCTCACTCTTGGACGACATAAGAATAATTCAGGAGCAAGGAGCAAGCCTAGGCCTCACCCTGAACCCTTCCAAGTGCGAAATAACCTCCACCAACCAGCACATAATAGAGCAAATAAAGGTTGTTTTGCCTGACATTCATACAACCAACCCTGAGGACAGCACACTCCTAGGTGCTCCTCTTGGAAGGAATGCCATCGACGAGGTCCTTGGTAAGAAGATCACTGACCTGAAGAGGATGAACGAGAGGATTGAAGACATCGATGCTCATGATGCACTTTACCTCATCACCAGATGCTTGTCCCTCCCCAGGCTGACCTACTTTCTAAGATGTTCGCCATCTTTCAACAATATTAAATTAGAAGAGTACGACAGCTTGCTGAAATCAACACTAGAAAAAGCCCTCAATCTTTC